TTTTTTGATTTGTTGTAGAGATGAGGGCTTGCCAAGTTCCAGGAGCTGGTCTCGAACCCATGGGCTCAGGCAATCCACTCGCCTTGGCCTCCCAGAGTGCTGGGATTACACACTGAGCTACCAAGCCCAGACACAATTCTATCCTTTTTTTTTTTTTAGGTTAAAAAAAAAGTTTATTTAAAAGTAAATTAGAGAGAGAGAAGGGAGAAAAAAGATTTACCTCCCCTAGGTGGGGGAAGGGGCCAAAGCCAGGAAGCATAGTGACAGTCATAGCTCAAAGAGCACATGGCTACACCAGAGTCTAGCAAGGCAATGGGCGCTCTCTACCCATTCTTTAAGACCCATCTTAAATGCTACTTTCTCCCTTAAGTCTACTCAACCTAGCAAAATATTTCTTTTTTTCTTTGGGTTTCCTAAAGCATTTTGTTTCTATTTTTATTGCACACTCAATTAAAGGTAAGTCTGGGCCTTGTACAAGTTGTTGAACCCAGCTGGGCTCGGTGGCTCAGCCTGTAATCCTAGTGCTTTGGGAGGCTGAGGTGAATGGATTGCCTGAGCCTGTGCGTTTGAGAACTGCCCGGGGCAACTTGGCAAGACCTCATCTCTACAATAAATCAAAAATTAGCTGGGCGTGGTAGCGCGCCTGTACTTCCAGCTACGTGGAAGGTTGAGGTGGAGGGATTGCTGGAGGCCAGCCGGTCGAGGCTGCGGTGGCTGGGAGCGGCCACTGCACTCCAGTCTGGGCGACAGAGTGAGACTCCAACTCAAAAAAAAAAAAAAAAATCCCAAAAAACCAAAGTACTTTCTGCTGAAAGAATTAGCAACTACATACTAGGCAGGTAAAGGCATGCATAGTATATTCAGGTGGTAGTTACATCTCTAAACTGCTTTTAGTCTGCTTGTTAGCTGTGGGTTTTTGTAAAGCAGATGCTTTCCAGATGGAAAACTTGACAGAGAGCAGAAAACAAGAATTTAACACCACTCACAGTGAGCAGGAGCGTTTCATTTTTAAAGGAACCCCAGTCCTTGAATTCCAGAGGACCTAGGCTAGAATATTGGTCTATGAGTAAATCTTGAGTTTTATCTGAGATATGTTCTGAAACTTAGCTAACCTCCCTTGAGTATGCTGACATGGATAGTTTGACATGTACAAAGCTTTGGGTTGAAAGGCCACATGGTGGGCACGGTAGCTCAAGCCTGTAATCCTAGCACTTTGGGAGGCCGAGGCGAGAGGACTACCTGAGTCCAGGGGTTCAAGACCCAGCCTGAGCAACTTGGTGAGATTTCGTCTCTACAGTAAATCAAAAAATAAGCCAGGCGTGGTAGCACGCACCTGTAGTTCCAGCTACTTGGAAGGCTGAGGTGGAAGGATCACCTGAGTCCGGCAGGTCAAGGCTGCAGTGGCCATGAGCATGCTACTGCACTCCAGCCTGGGTGACAGAGTGAGACGCCAACTCAAAAAAAGAAAGAAAAAGAAAGGCCACAAGAGCCTGCAAATGTTAGTAGGTTACACTGATATGTCAAGCAAATCTTCTAAATGTTAATTTAAGATGAAATAAAAATTATCAGAAGATAGACCAGAATTATAACTAAATTAGAAACATATATCAAATGCTATGCTGTGCCTCACAAATATATACTATTATTTGTCAGTTAAAAATTAAATCAAGCCGGGCTTGGTGGCTCAGCCTGTAATCCCGCGCCTTTGGGAGGCTGAGGTGAGTGAATTGCCTGAGCCCGCGGGTTCGAGACCCGCCTGGGCAACTTGGTGAGACCTCATCTCTACAATAAATAAAAAATTAGCTGGGTGTGGTAGCACACACCTGTAGTTCCAGCTACTTGGAAGGCTGAGGCAGAAGGATTGCCAGAGCCCAGTAGGTCGAGGCTGCGGTGGCCGGGAACAGCCACTGCACTCCATCTGGGCGACAGAGTGAGACTCCAACTCAAAAAAATTTTTTAAATAAAAATAAATAAAAAATAAAAAGATAGAAATAAACAAAAACCTGATTACTGATACCAACTTCTTAAATACTGTGAGGCCCTCAAGTTGTCAGCTAATATTTAAAAAGCCATAATTTCACAGACAAATTAAGTCGTCCCCTTCTGGCCATCAAATTATAAACGCTAAAGGCAGGAAAGACTTAATACAAATTATTCAATTCAAATACTGACAGGATCCAAATTTTGTCCATATTTAAATAACTTCCTCAATTAACCTTGGAAAGGCTATTCAATTTTTTAATAGGTATCACTACTGGGAAGTCCTTATTATTCAACTCTATTTAAATGACACTAAAGATCTTTCAAGGTACTTTTAACATAGAAGTATTCAAGCTATTTTGCTTGCTGCTGAAACCCAGAAGCTGGGGCCTAAGGTATTTAAAACGGTCAGCTACATAGTCTATACCCATTTTCTGTATTTATTTATTTATTTTTTTATTTTTTTTTTTTTGAGTCGGAGTCTCACTCTGTCACTCAAACGGGAGTGCAGTGGCCGCTCCCGGCCACTGCAGCCTCGACCTGCTGGGCTCCGGCGATCCTTCCCCCTCAGCCTTCCGAGTAGCTGAAACTACAGGTGCGTGCTACCAAGCCCGGCTAATTTTTGATTTATTGTAGAGATGAGGTCTTGCCAAGTTGCCCGGGCGGGTCTCGAACTCACGGGCTCAGGCAATCCACTCACCTTGGCCTCCCAAAGTGCTGGGATTACAGGCTGAGCCACCGAGCACGGCCCATTTTCTGTATTTAGTACCAGAGCAAGTACATTAGACAAGCATGCCAAGGACAACAGTTTTACTCTGCCAAATGTCATACATCTAAGACAAGCAATCTACTACAGACATAAGTGCAGACTAACACACAGAGTTCTCAGAATGGATCTCAAAGCCCTATTTATTCATCAACAATCTGCATGGCCTACTATATGCCAGGCACTGGAGGAGCAAGAGATGTGGCCCCATTTTATGGGAGTTCACAAACTAGGCATTAGCTTTTTACTCCAGAAACTCCTCAGAGAAAGAATCTATGAAATGAAAGTCCACCAAGTCTAATGCAAAATGTTATACCACCACAGATAGTAAATGGTGTAAATAAGCTTTTATCTAGTCCCTAAAATAAATATGAGTATAGTTGCTTCCTTTCTTTACATATATGGTTAGAAAATTATATGTATCCTGTATTCTAAAACGCAGAAGGTTAGGTACCTTACTTGGTCTCCTTTAATTATGAAGCTAGAAGTACTATATTACATGCTATTTACATTTTTAATGAAAAACAATTTAGCCTACAGCAGCCATTGAAGAAAAATGTCACCACGGGGAAAACTGGAAATGACTTCAGGTCCTTCACCGCCCTGAAGCTTCATTAAGATGCAACTGGTTCCAATACAGGTGCTTTTCAATCACACCACTTTCCATATAAATGTCCATAAGGCACCTAGGCAGGAACACAGGCATCAATTCTCACATCTATTCCAAAACCACCTTGAACCTTTCAGAACTATTCCAAACTGTTCTTTTTTTTTGAGTTGGAGTCTCATCCGTTGCCCAGGCTGGAATGCCTTGACACACTCACGGCCACCCCAGCCTCGACCCACTGAACCCACTTCCGCCTCAGCCTTCCAAATAGCTGGAACTACAGACGCACGCCACCACGCCCGGCTAGGGTTTTTTTTTTTGTGATTTATTGTAGAGACGAGGTATCACCAAGTTGCTCAGGCTGGGTCTGGAACCCCCGGGCTCAGGCAATCCTCTCGCCTCGGCCTCCCAAAGAGCTGGGATTACAGGTTGAGCCACCCCGCCCGGCCCAAACTGTTGATTCTTAACACAATCTAGGAGGATTTCTTACTCCTTGGCCAGAGGTCCTAGCATACATGCTCTTTTTGTAAATTTCACATTCATTGAGTTAAACCAACACGTGTCTAAACGACATCAATCCATGAAAAATGGGTTAAAATATTGCTCATGTGTATTTAAATTTCCCAACATCAAGGAAAAGTTGCCAGAAAGAAGGGCCCGAGAAACAAATACCATCTCACAATCGCACACACTTACTTTTCCTTTGTTTTCCAATTGCCCACACCATCCCGGAATCTCACGATCTCGATCTGTTCCTTAACTAACCCCTCTACGCTTCTTGACGATCTCACCACCCTCTGTGAGATGAGTAACGACCCCAGATGAAACTTATGAAACCAACCTTGAATCAAAGCAAGAGCTGCGCTTGGACTATTGTTTTAACTCCCGAAAGGAAACATGGAGTGAAGGCAGCAAGAAGCCTGGAAAAGTGAAGGAGGCGTGTCCCACCCCTTCTTCAACAGGATCCTTCAGCCTCCTTTCTGCAGGGACTCCCGGGAGCACTGGCGGCCCGTCTCCCCGGTTCTCCTCCACACTTCACCGAAACACCCTGGAGATCCCCGCCCTACTTATCCTAACAGCCCTCCCCCTACAGAGCCTGGCGCAGCTCCCTGGCCCTCCCACCCCCCCCCCAATTCATTCAACACCCTCCACCATCAGCACACCTGCCAGGCCCAGCCCCGGCTTCCAGCCTCCCCGAAGTTACTTCTTCGCAGTCCTGCGGGTAGAACCCCCGGGGCAGCGCCGGCCGGACCCCGGGTCCGCGGATTCCAACCCGAACCTCGGATCTCGCTGTCGTCCGCTCTCCGCGCGCATATCCAGGCATCAAGCCTGTCTCCCTCCCTGTCTCCGGAACCGTTTCCTCTTCAGATCCACCCGCAGCCGCCCGCCCGGAGCAACTCTGCCTCGGTCTCCCCGGGCCCCGAGGAGCGGCCCCCAGGAGCTCGGCCCACCGCGCCCCGCCCTCCTCCATCCTCCACGCAGCCGGCGCCCGGCCCCTTGCGCGCCAGGGGGGAGCTCGGTGTGGGAAGCGGCGCAGCAGGCAGGGCCGCGGACCACCCTCCACCCCGAGCGCGGCCTCTCACCTCCCGCTCCCGCCGCCGCGCCCCCCCCCGCCCCCCGCTGTCCCGCCTCCAACGGGCTTCTCACCTCAGAGCAGCGCCCAGGAGCCCGAGAGGAATCGGTGCCGCGCTACTGGCGCGTCGCGTCGGGCCGGCCGGGGGAGTGGCACCCGAGAAGGAAGCAAGCCGGGTGGCCGCGAAGAAGCTCCTAACTAAAGCGACGTACCGCAGGCCCGGTCCAACGGCCCTCCCCTCAGCCGAACAAAAGAAGCTCGCACTCTGCGGGGCCCGCCGCCCGCACCGCGCAAGTGCGACGACCCGCCGCACGGCATCATGGGACGCGGAGTCCGGCCAAGACTACAAGGCCCAAAGCGCCGCGCGGGGCTTCAGCTGCGCACGCGCGACTTTGTCGGGGCAGAGGTAGCTTCAAGGTTTAAACAGCAACCGCGGAGCGATCGGAGCTTTGAGCGTCGCAACCGAGAAAGTTAGAACGTGTGGTTTTTACAAGCGAACCGCTTGATGCTTGTCCCGAATAATCAGCCATTTTGGGGCAGTTCTGTAATTCACACACTTGAAACTGCCAAATCTGTAAAACTCCTACTCCGAGGTGTTGAAATTACTTCCCTTTCCAAGTCTTTCCTGACCCCCTACATTAGGTTAGGTTCCCCGGTAGGCATCCTCCTGGCTTCCTAAATTTGCCCCTTTCTTTTTCTTTTTCTTTTTTTTTTTTTTTGAGTCGGAGTCTCAGTCTGTCGCCCAGGCTGGAGTGCAGTGGCACGCTCACGGCCCACCACAGCCTCGAACTGCTGGGCTCAGACGATCCTTCGGCCTCAGCCTTCCCAAGTAGCTGGAACTATAGACGCGCGCTACCACACCCGTCTATTTTGTATTTTATTGCAGAGACAAGGTCTCGCCAAATTGCCTGGGCTGGTTTCAAACCCTCGGTCTTAGGCATAGACTCGCCTCGGCTTCCCAAAGTGCTGGGATTACAGGGTGAGCCACTGAGCCCGGCCAAAAAATGGTGACTTTTGATTGCTAGAGCATAGAAGGTCAACGCTGGGGTGGCTGTGAGCGTGCGTGCCATTGCACTCCAGCCTGGACAAAGGAGTGAGACTCCAACTCAAAACAACAACCAAAAAAATGGCGACTTTTTTTTTTTTTTTTAAGCTGGGTCTGGAGGTGCAAACCCGTAGTTCCGGCTATTTGGAAGGCTGAGGCAGAAGGATTGCCTGAGCCCAGCAGATCGAGGCTGCGATGGCGGTAAGCATGCCACTGCACTCCAGCCAAGGCGACAGAGTGAGACTACAATTTAGAAAAGATTTAGCCGGGCTCGGTGGCTCAGCCTGTAATCCCGCGCCTTTGGGAGGCTGAGGTGAGTGGATTGCCTGAGCCTGAGGGTTCGAGACCCGCCTGGGCAGCGAGACCTCATCTCTACAACAAATCAAAAAACCAGCCGGGCGTGGTAGCGCATGCCTGTAATTCCAGCTACTCGGAAGGCTGAGGCGGAAGGATCGCTGGAGCCCAGCAGGTCGAGGCTGCGGTAGCTGGGAGCGGCCACTGCACTCAGTCTGGGCGACAGAGTGAGACCCCAACTCAAAAAAAAAAGAAAAGATTTAAGCCGGGCTCGGTGGCTCAGCCTGTAATCCCGCGCCTTTGGGAGGCTGAGGTGAGTGGATGGCCTGAGCTCGCGGGTTCGAGACCGCCTGGGCAATTTGGCGAGACCTCATCTCTGCAGTAAATCAAAAAATTAGCCGAGGGTGGTAGCGCGCGCCTGTAGTTCCAGCTACTTGGAAGGCTGAAGCGGAAGGATCGGAGCTCAACAGGTTGAGGCTGCGGTGGCCGGGAGCATGTCACTGCCCTCCAGCCTGGGCGACAGAGTGAAACTCCAACTCAAAAAAAAAAAAAAAGCAAGAAGAGAAAAGATTTTCCTCCACCTTGTTTGAAATTCTTTGTTTCTTGAGTACTACTTGCAATTCTATTTTTAAATATTTATTCATTTGGGGCTAACAAGCACCCTCTTTTAAAATGCAAATATACTTAAGAACCATCTCTGTTTTCTTTCCTCCTTTGGTCAATCTGATTCTCATGGTGAATTCCTGGTAGTCACTGGACTCTAAATAAAAGGTACACTTCTCAAATGCACCCACAGCCCCGACTATGGTTTTCTGATGTGAAGGGATTACTGCTGAAAAGGTGCTTATCATTTGCTAGCATTCAGGAATGGTAAGGATTGGCCCCATTATCAAGTGTTTAGAAATCACTGTTGAGGCTGGGCCGGGTGGCTCAGCCTGTAATCCCAGCACTTTGGGAGGCCAAGGCAAGAGGATTGCCTGAGCCTGGGGATTCGAGACCAGCCTGGGCAATATGGTGATACCTCATCTCTACAATAAATCACACAAAAAAACCTAGCTGGGCGTGGTAGTGTGCGTCTGTAGTTCCAACTACTTGAAAGGCTGAGGTGAAAGAATCACCTAAGCCCAGCTGGTCGAGGCTGTGGTGTCGGTGACCGTGGCACTGCACTCCAGTCTGGTCGACAGAATGAGACTCCAACTCAAAAAAAGAAAAAATTTTCGCCGGGCTCGGTGGCTCAGGCTGTAATCCCGCACCTTTGGTGGCTGAGGTGAGTGGATTGCTTGACCCCGCGGGTTCAAGACCCTCCTGGGCAGCAAGACCTCTACAATAAATCAACAGATCAGCCGGGCGTGGTTAGCGCATGCCTGTAATTCCAGCTACTTGGAAGGCTGAGGCGGAAGGATCGCCGGAGCCCAGCAGGTTGAGGCTGCGGTGACCAGGCGCGGTCACTGCACTCCAGTCTGGGCGACAGAGTGAGACTCCAACTCAAAAAAAAAAAAAAAGAAAAAGAAAAAACTTTCCTCCACCTTGTTTGAAATTCTTTGTTTCTTAAGTACTACTTGCAATTCTATTGTTAAATATTTATTCATTTGGGGCTAACAAACACCCTTTTAAAAAATGCAAATATAGGCCGGGCCCAGTGGCTCAGCCTGTAATCCTAGCATTTTAGGAGGCCGAGGCGAGTTAATTGAATGAGCCCACGGGGTTCGAGACCCACCCGGGCAACTTGGCGAGCCCTCATCTCTACAATAAATCAAAAATTAGCTGGGTGTGGTAGCGCACGTCTGTAGTTCCGGCTACTTGGAAGGTTGAGATAGAAGGATTACCTGAGCCCAGCAGGTTGGGGCTGCAGTGGGGCTGTGGTGGCCGGGAGCATGCCACTGCACTCCAATCTGGGCGACAGAGTGAGACTCCAACTCAACAAAAAATTTTAAAAAATAAAATGAAAATATACTTAAGAACCATCTCTCTTATCTTTCCTCCTTTGGTCAATCTGATTCTCATGGTGAATTCCTGGTATTAACTGGACTCTAATTAAAATGTACACTTCAGCCGGGCTCGGTGGCTCAGCCTGTAATCCCAGCACTTTGGGAGGCCGAGGTGAGTGGATTGCCTGAGCCCGCGGGTTCGAGATCAGCCCGGGCAACTTGGCGAGAACTCGTCTCTACAATAAAATAAAATAAAATAGCCGAGGGTGGTAGTGCGCGTCTGTAGTTCCAGCTACTCAGAAGGCTGAGGTGGAAGGATCGCTGGAGCCCAAAAGGTCAACGCTGGAGTGACTGTGAGTGTGCCACTGCACTCCAGCCTGGGCGACCGGAGTGAGACTCCAACTCAAATAAAAAAAAGAAAAAAAAATCACTGTTGAAAAATAAGCTGGCCATTGCCTTGTTAAGCTATGGTGTATCCCTGGGCTCTTTGAGCTATATCCAGTCCACGTTTTCTTAAGCTTTGGCCCCTCCCCTCTTTCTCTCTCTTCAATTTACTTTCTAAATAAACTGTATTTGCTTTTTCTTTTTTTTGAGTTGGAGTCACTCTGTCACCCAGACTGGAGTGCAGTGGCACATTCCCGGCCACCGCAGCCTCAACCTGCTGGGCTCCGGCAATTCTTCCGCCTCGGCCTTCCAAGTAGCCAGAACTACAGGCACGTACTACCATGCCTGGCTAATTTTTTATTTATTGTAGAGATGAGGTCTCGCCAAATTGCCCCGGGTGGGTCTCAAACATGTGGACTCAGGCAATTCACTCACCTCAGCCTCTCAAAGCGCGGGATTACAGGCATGACATATATTTATGTATTGATTCTTGCCTGGTAATCCCGACCTCTGAAGAACCTCTAACTTCATTATAATATGCATGGTACAAAATGACACATTCCATGGCAGCCATGGTTGGAAACCTAATCTTACATTTTAACACCTTTCAGAAAATAATAGAATTTGTCTTTTTCCTTTCTATTGTTCTTGCCAGCAAAACTCTTTAATCCACTATTAATGGCTTGAAGAAATAACTACTGAAGACCAAGCACTCTGCTAGGTATTCTGGCAAAACGGGAATGGTTATTCTCCTCAAATGTGAGCTTACTTTTGAAATGCACAAGCTTATACTATATCAAGATCATCAGAGAATTGCTGTAAAAACCTAGTATTTATATCATCAAGACTGGCTTCCTTTCCAGAGGCTGCGGCAGGACACCCAGAAGCCTCCCTCAACACAATCTCCAGGCTGCGGCAGTAGCTGCGCCCAAGAGCAGCTCTGAAGACTGATTGGTACACTGGACATGGGTCCAGAATGATGTCCTAGCCCCGGGAAAAGTGGCACAAAGCCACTGCCGCAAAGTGGTAGGTGTTCTGGAGCAGCAAAAAAAAATGTTTTGTTTTGTTTTTTTTGAGTTGGAGTCTCACTGTGCCGCCCAGACTGGAGTGCAGTGGCTGCTCCCGGCCACCACAGACACGACCTGCTGGGCTCCAGCAATCCTTCCGCCTCAGCCTTCCAAGTAGCTGGAACTACAGGTGCGTGCTACCACGCTCGGCTCATTTTGATTTATTGTAGAGATGAGATCTCGCCAAGTTGCCCAGGCTGGTCTCGAACCCGCGGGCTCAGGCAATCCACTCACCTCAGCCTCCCAAAGGTGCGGGATTGCAGGCTGAGCCACCGAGCCCGGCTGCAAAAATATTTTTATGATATCTCTTTCCTACAGTATATGTCTTTTCCATATTCTATATGATGAAATGGGAGGTTCACATTCTGCTGTTTACTGAAATGTGATGGTTGTGCAACTGTTTGAGATGTCTGAGTATGACTAGTTTTTTTTTATAGAACACTATTTTGTTTTTTGTTTTTTGTTTTTTTTGAGTCAAGTCTCACCCTGTTGCCCAGGCTGGTGTGCAGTGGCATGTTCATGCCCACCACAGCCTCTATTTGCTAGGCTCAGGCAATCCTTCCGCCTCAGCCTTCCAAGTACCTGGAACCACAGGCAAGCGCCACCATGCCCGGCTGATTTTTTTATTTGCTGTAGAGACGAGGTCTTGCCAAGTTGCACAGGCTGGACTCAAACCCCTCTTGCCTCAGCAATCCTCTTGCCTCAGCCTCCCAAAGTGCTGGGATTACAGGCTTGAGCTACTGTGCCTGACCAATAAAACACTATTTTTTTTTTTTTTTTTGAGTTGGAGTCTCACTCTGTCGCCCAGAATGGACTGCAATGGCCACTCCAGGCCCCCGACACCTCAACCTATTGGGTTCCGGTAATTCTTCCGACCCTGACTGCACAAAATGCGCAACTGAAAAGACGGGAATGACAAACTGAATAATTTATAATAACACGACACAACAATATGCAGTCTTCAGGATACTCATCTCACCTGATTCATAGTAAGAGGATGGAAAACAAATTTTCAGGTGAACACGACACAAAAGAAAGCAAGAGTTTCGATCTTGATATCAGACATTAAAATTCTTTTAAAAAGACATAGAGGATCACTACATAATGATAAAAGGTTCAATCCATCACAAGAAATATCCATGGTAAACATATATGCACCCAACATAGGAGTACCATCCTTTTTAAAGCAACTCTAGGTAAACAAAAAAAAGATATTGACTCTAACACTATCATAGTTGGGGACTTAAATGCCCCACTACAACCCTA